AAAATGCGCTTGAATATAAAATGCGCGCTGAAATTGAAGTAAATATATTTTTTTATCCTTAAACTGAATGTAGTTTGGGCTTATAAAGTGCCACAAAAATCTTAATTAGTATTTGGAGCTGTTATATAAAATAACTCACATCTCGCTGAATATTAAATAACGTGTTATGAAAAGTATTTAAATTAGCCAGTACGCTCCATAAATTTTACTTTATATTCACACACACACACACACATATGTGTACAGAGCGGAAGTTACATATGTAAACAAAAGATTAAAAGTTGCTCTTTCAATTCAAAACAAATATTTCTTTTGCTTTACACTTGACTTGCAACCGTTTTCATGCTTCATTCAAGCCTTCTGCAGGCGAATTGTAAATGCTGACACTGAAAACATATATTTCGCAAAGGAATTTATGCGCTGTGTACATACGCACAACGAATATGCCTGTCCATTTCAGTCTACTTGTATGTTTGCGTATACTATCATTGTGGTGTGTATGTACGATGGTGTGTTTGGATATGAAAACAAATTCTTTACTCTTACGCTTCGTTTAAATAAATGCAATGCAATTCAGCAAAAAATATTTTTTATCATATTTGCACAGTGAATGACTCCGAGGTGCCGAGAATGAAGCATAGCTGCCATATTCGCCCCTCCAGGGGTAGTCACATAGTCATATTGGTGGCCAGTGATGGCTATAAGAGAGCGTTGCAAGTCGGATCGAGGGAAGCCAGCGGTGCCCTACGTTGACGTCGGAGTTGATGCCGATGCATGACAGCAAACAAAATATGTACAAACAGTAATAACGACCGCAGGGACGAGAGCTGTGTTGTCAGTGGGTGTATGGTGTTTGTGCAGACTATCTGTGGAGGACGAAGAGAGCGCGGTAGGTTGGCAGCGGCAACAATTTAAACAATTCCAATGAAACATCAGACAACAACTGGCGGCAGTGTGGCCGTGGGCCGGCGGGCAGATGACTGCATTCATGCAGCCCCATCAATTGTGGCAGGCGGTGGACTATGCATAGGCAGGAAAGTTATGCCGTTGCAGGCAAATAGACACCGACAGACAGAGAAGCGGCAACGGCCTGGACAGCAGGTTAGCTGGCATTACGTAAAAGTTGAAATGGCATGCGTTGGAGTGAAGGAGTTTTAAGTGGATAAGGTGTTGTGTCGGCATTTGCGAGAGAGAGAGAGAGAGAAATAAAATAATAACAACAAAGTTAATGCAGCGGCAGTCATGGCTGGGGAATGCCGTGAATACTGCCGAGCGCCTAGTTGTATGCAAAGGAATGTGTATTCAGGCATAAAAGGCATTGACATTGTAAAAATTGTTGAATGGACTGAATTGTGGCGCAAAAACGAAAAAATAAATTACAAACAAATACAGAAAATATTGAAAAACTCGCAAATAATAATAAACGACAACGCATGGCATGCCTTACTGCGGTATGCAAACGCAGAGGGCAGTGAAGGGGTGAGTAAAGCGCAAAAAAGTAGTTAACCGAAGATTGAAATATAAAATAAATAAATGCGGCAATGCACTTTTACCTCCTCTTACCTCTGTAGCGAACTCCATTAAAGCACGCCGCATTCTTGTAGCACAAAAGCCAGCATTAAGCGGCCTGAAAGTATGCAACGCGCTGCGAGTACACGCAGCAGCATTTGTCATCCTCTGCGTGGTCTGTCTGTTTACCTGGCGCTGACTGGCTGGTAACTTCTGACAATAACACGTGCGCTGCGTCACGTGCACTTGATCGCCATATTTGTCAGGTGGAAATGATGAAGCCAATATGTGTGTTTGTGGGTATGTGTTAGCTTTTGTGGCAAGTTGATTATTATGGCCTTTAGTGGCGGCGCCATCTATTGCCACTACGTAGTCAGACATACATACTTATATATGTATAAAAGTCGCTTGCATGTGTGAATGTGTGGAGTTCACTGTAAAACTCTGTAGCTGTGGCATCTGCATTACGCTTGATTTATGACTAATTACATTTTTGCATTCCATGTACCTTTGGCTGAATGAGGTGACGATGCAGTGTATGCTGCATACTTTTATAAGCCTATAGATTGCACGAAATTCTTGGAGAACAATGAAATACATTTGGCAGTAAAAAATCGTGCTCGGTAGTCGAAGATCGCTGGATTGCAATTCAGCTTATATTATTTGTATTCAGCAGTTTATGAAATAGTACAGACTTTTAAAAATTCGTATATTTTAAGCGTATGGTGTATAATGTGTTGTATTCAGCGCTTTCTACATCTATTCAGCGCTAGTTTAAAAGTGTACTTTTTATAAGTGGAGAAACGTATATTACATTTGAATTCAATTAAGCTTATTAAGCATTATAAATATATAGTAATTTCCGATTTTTTATGTATATAAAAACGTCAAAGTTATGAGATTAGCCGCTATATTTCGATATATTGTTGCTAAGTAAGCAATTGTTTTAGTTGCCGTTATATTTATAGAGTATAAATCAATAGGTATTGTCTGTCCAGTATGTTTGTTGGTAGCTTATAATGCTGTTTTGTTTCTTAAGCAAATTCAGCGGAATAGTCAGCTTCATTCAGCAACAGTTTGAGTTGTCCAACTGCAATTCAGCAAATAAAATTTATTCTCAAGAGTACTTATAGCTTTAGAAATATAACAGTAGTGTTAGTATACTACGATTTTTAACAATTCAGCGTGGAATTTCGTGAAGTGGTATGGTGGTTTAAATTAAAAAGTTAGAATATTTTATTTTTTAATTCAATTAGTATTAACTACTTTGGGTGCTAATAAATTGTTATATCAATACTTCGGTTGCTGCTGAAAATCTTACTTTGAAGTAATGTCTGCTGCTCTTAACGGAGCCGTCCTTGCTTGGGTTTAATATATTAGCCACAAAATAAAGTTAGTCTTGCATTTTAATGAACAGCTGCGGTAAGGGTAAACACTGAAAATATATGTGCAATTGCACCACTGCATTTCTAATGAATTAACCGCGTATTAAAATGCAAAATAAAATTTAATAAAAGCCACTAAGCAATATAACAAAGCAGTAAAATTCAAATGAGAAAAAAAGCTATGAAATATAGATGCTTGCCTATGAAATTCTTCAACTGCAAAACCTGGCATCTCTTGTATAAGGCTTGCATAAATATCTTTGCAACACAAAGCAATCCACAAGAGAATAAACAAATAAAAGCAAAACCAAAGGCAACAAGCTGGCAATGAAATATTGAAGAAAATGCCGGCGCAAGAAAGAGTAGAAAAGAAACGGCGCAGGTGGACGAACAAATTAACAAGAGAGTCTACAAGCAGGCAAACGCAGCATTACTAACAAAAGAAAGCCATGCAAGAAAGTAAATGAAAATAAAATTTGTAAAAAAAAGTTAAATAAAGTCATTGCACGCATTTCAATAAAAGCAGCAGCAAGTCGGCAACAAAAGCAAGCACCGGCAGAGCAGCAAGGAAAGGCAGTAGAAATCAGCATTGGGCGCAGGAAAAAATAAGATTGGCAATGGGAAAAGACTCCAACCACACTGACCGGGTTTAAAACAGCACGGCGTATGAGTAATGCAGCAGCCGTTTCAGGAAGCAGCCGCCTAGGCAAACAAATTGAATGAAATCAACTCGTTAAAAAGTAAATAAGGCTGATGAATGGATACCAAAAACAGGAAAAAACAGGCGAAAAAACAATAATGATAACAGTAACGAAGCCAAAGCAGATGTTGGTCTGCGAAAGCCGCACGGATGCCAAGCTAGTTAAGGTTACGAGGGTTGCTGTAGAAAACTGTTGGGTATGGTTGCGCTGGCTTGCGCCTACATATTGCAAGCTTCTATTGGCTTCAGCAAGCTTTTCAAATAAGCCAAGCCAAACAGACGTACCACCACAGCAGGTAGACAAAGGCAAAGGCTGCAAAAACCATACACACACATACGCTTGTACAAAAGTATCGTTAGGCATAATGTGGCTAAAGCCTGAAAAGCAAGCACGGCCTTCTAAATATTCCAAGCTTACCGCACACAAGCAGCTAGATGGTTATAAATGAGGATGAAAAAATTTCGAATGAGTGCCTGTGTATGCATCTCAGCAGCAGCACAATAATAGCAACAACAATGTGCTGCAAGGTCATGCGACAGCCGGAAAGGGAGTGGCAAGAAAAAATTGCATGAAGCTTACCTGTAAATACGCATGCAGACAGTAAAAAAATGATATATGTAGGCTGGCTGTGCTGTCATTGATTACCAGCATACTCAACGTTTTTATAGGTGTACAATTGCGCAAGCTTGTAAGTGTATGTTAGGTTATGACAAGACTCAAGCCTTGGTGGCTCAAGCATTTTTAGAAAAGAAAACTCGGAAGCACTCGAGGGAATATATAATGAATATATTATGATGACATTTGCAGGGAAAATTGAGCAACAACGAATGTGGTTGGAGATTCGGGGAACCTTTGCACTTTTTATCATCGTCTTGTTTATGATTAATGCAGAAAATGAAAAATGTCTGCAAATGTTATGCAGTAGAGGCATATGAAATTTAACTGTTTTGTGTATAGATGACACATGACAAAGTTACACATGCCAGTAGCTTTCACAACGATTTCTATATATGAAACTAAATCCAAAAGCTTTATTTCAAGTGTCAATAATTGATATACTACACAAAGAGCTATAAAATATTTCTATATAATCCAAAAGACGTTTTCATTTAAGCTTTTATATATATTGTGAAAACATTGACCTTTGATACCACGAGAGCTTTCATATCTTCTAAAAAGCTTTCATTAGTTCCCAAAAAGGTGCAATAGTTTTCGTAAAAAAAAGCTGGATTTTTTTGAAAAGCTGCCACATATTACACACCTAAATGTTACAATAGTTACAGTTTTTGGTGTAGAAAAGCTTTCACTCTGTGTTCAAAAATATTAAGAGCTTTCATAAAAGTACTGACAACTGTTGTGCTGTCTTTGACACTTGCTTGAAATGCTTAAATAAGTACTCTAGGCGTTTCTACTTACAGCCATTTAAAGGTCAGTTCAAAGGTTTAAGTTTATTTATCATTTGGTAAACAATTTTAAAACCACCACCAAAAACATTTAAAGAATATTCAACAATTTTGCGAAATTTTTAAAGATGCCCTTGCTGCCAAAAATTACTTATGCGCTATCATACAGTCGGTGATTTTGAAAGCTGTTTCACATGGTGTTGAACCAGTCAAATCCTTGCATGCTTCCACAGCAGCAACGAATGTATCATCGTCTATTTTAGTTTTAGCCATTTCAGCGTTGAACTTGCCCGCTTCATCCATGATACCTTGCTTCACCATAATGCAGTGGCTGCTGCACTTCAAATTCTCCGAAACGGTTGTTAATTTACCCTCCATAAAGTCACGAAAGTCCTTTGGCGATACATTGTGTTCCTTATTGCAGTCCTCAATGGTTTTGCGCATTTCTGGATCATGTGGGTTGCACTGTTGGAGAAATTGTCAATAATTGAGATTATAACTTCTTTCTTTCGGTTTGGACATTTTAGCTTACCATCACAACAGCGCTACCGACGACTAACAGTGCAATAGTTAGAAACGATTTCATTTTGCAATTTTTCAATTTTTAATGCTCTTATCACCACAAGCTTTGGCGTACAAGTTGTTTCACAGCTACGGTCAGCTTGTATTTATACTGAAAATATTCGCTGAAATGGTCACTGATCATATTCACTGAGCGATCGACAGTCGGGGATTTTCACACTAAATTATTTATTTTAACTTTTTTATTGTAATTGCTGATTTTGTCTCCCTCATGAGCGTACTTCTAATTAAAGTCAGATTTTTTGCTGATTCTAATCTGTACGCGCAAATTGTTTAGTTTCACAGCGTGATTTGTCACTGCAACAGCTCGAAGCGTTGTTATTTATTCATATTTTGCACGAGACTATTTCAACGTGTTTTTTGGTTCTCATTTCAGTTGACATTTGCAAAGCTAACTCAGTTGCTAACTTTGTTTTCAATATACTTGTATAAAAGGTAAATTTTACACTAATTGCAAAAGCTATTAAAAAATTAGTGCATGAATTTTGTCTGACATTTAAGGCCATTAAATGATAAAATTAAAATATATTATATTAACGTTGTTGTTTATCCGTTTTTAGATTATATAGATTTTAGGTTTCAATTAATGGGTTCAGGTGATCTCTTCATGACATATCATACATTCATGGTTACGTCAATTAAAACTGAAGACTGAGGTGATATCAGAAAACTGCTGAATATGAAGTCTTCAACTTGTCTTAGGCTATCAGTAATCTGTTGATTGCAGTTAACTCGCCTGGTTTTTTGAAAGTCAGATTAAGACCCAAGTTATTTGTTTCGACCTTAGTCTATGACTCATATTTCCAAGATTTGTTTGCCTTTCTTAATCTGTTGTTGTGATGTTGTGCTTTAAAATTTTCTTAAAACATTATTGACTGACAGTGTTTTGCAGTCAGTAAATTTGGAGTCGTTTGTTGACGTACATATTTAAGTTAGAGGGCATATCCCTACTTGTTTATATATCCGACGATCCGACCACAACTGAGTTGGAAACTGTTTCTTATGGTCATTAGCGATTATTACATTGCAGTCTCATGGATACCTAGCTTTCAGCATTTAGACAATATTTGTGGTCTCCATTGAATGCTTTCTCGATTGAGTTATCAGAGAAGCCGAAAGATATCTTTCATTTTAAATTAGTTTGTTTTTTCATGACTAAATATATTGCCTGGTTCCGGTAGAAGCCCGAATAATGATCCACCAGAATTTATACAGCAGTTGCCCATAAGCACTGAAAAGTTGCTGCGATCATTCAATAGCCTATCATCTCGGAGTGCTCATATTCTGCACGCTAATGTAACTGCAATTGCATTACGGTTAATGCGCTTACATGGACGCTTGAATAAATTTATTTTTAATGATTAATACCAATGCATATATGCAATTAAAATGCGCTGATTTATAGCATCTGCTTATTACTTAACAACTTTTGCTTTTTGAGCCACAATTTTGACTGCGCTTCTCTCTAATGACTCAGTAATTTAAATGTTTAAAAACCTTGGCAATAATTATGGCTATAAACAAATTATCAAATGCTGCCCAAAACAAATAATCACATACCTTTGACTAATAAATATGTACTTAATTATACAAGTTATTTAATGGTATTAATTTATATGGGAAAATAGTCATAATTTGTGGCAAATGAGGGATGCACCATTTCGTTTTTTGTTTAAACGAATATTTGTGTTTCGAGTTTGTTTTTAGCATTTTCATTTGGAATTCTAAGCTGGAGTTGTGTAGTAATGTGTTGAGCTTGCAAAAATAATATTTTTGAATGTCAAAAACATAATAAATTCCGTAGATATATTTACAAAATTAAAATTACTTAAAAACGTCGAAAATTTTATAACGAAAATAACTATAAATTTTTAATAATTTTACTGCCTGAACGACATAAGCAACGCTTTGGTGTAATAAGTACCAAAATACATATTATTTTTATTATAAAGCTTAAAAGCACGTGAAATCCTCTGAAACATTTACAGCATCCCAACTTAACACTTCACGCACACACTCCTACACTTGCCCGTATGCAAAAATATGCAAACAAAATAAACGGTAAATATTTCATTACCTTGACACTCAGCTAGCTGGCGTTGCGTGTTGCGAAGGTGAACCCATATAAATATCGCAAATTTAGTGGTAACAAGTGACCAAGCCACTCCTTCTCAACCTAAGTGGTGGCATTAACGTTAGTGTGAGTGACTTTGCTCAGGGCTATGCCAAAAATACTCATGCTTGGGCATTTGGGCTTATGGGGTGTAGTAAAACAAAATTACGGTCATCCCACTGGGAAGACAACATTACTTGCCACTTAAACGCAAATATGCATAAATGTATATAAAATACGCAAACAACAACAACACTATAAAATAGTTCGTGTGCTATTTTTTATATATGTATGTTTCTACTACTGTGTTAGTGTATGTTACGCATATTAAAGCTATAGTCAGTCAGCTGGGGCGATATTTGCGTGTGAGTATATGAAGTTGGAGGTGGCGAGAAGCAATTTTAGTAGAAAGCAACTAGGATAAGTAAAAAATACCACCCTAAAGTATAATCACGGAAAAGGTGACTCAGCATGCAGGCATGTAAGACTATAACTGCAGTGAGAGACGGGCCAAAGGTGGTTTAAGATTATATTAAAAATATTTAACTTATGACAATTGCGTTTAGTTCATAAATAGACATAGCTGCGCCATATGACTTAGACCAATATCAAATATGCTATGGTGATCCGATATCGGAAATTCCGACAAATGAGTAGCGTCTTGGAGAGAAAAGGACGTGTGTTAAATTCAAAACGATATCTCAAAAACTGAGCGACTAGTATATACAGACGGACCGACGGACAGACAGACGTACATGGCTAAATCGACACAACTCATCATGCGGATCACTTATATATTAAATATGTATATTTTATAGGGTCTCCAACGTTTATTCTGGAAACTTCGTGGCAAACTTAATACACTCTGTTCAGGGTATAAAAAGCATCGCCCTTCACAGAGGTTTCCTTTTTTAGCTAAATGAGTACGGGATTGTTGTTATGAAGCAAATGTATTACGATTAATACTTTTTAGCATGCCATATAAGAATGCGGTGTAATCTTTGCTGAGCTAGTCCTCTGGCTTCTATAAACGAAAGGGAAACTCGTAAACTTTTAAGTTTCTGTTAACTTAAATAACGTTCTATGTGAGCTAAACAGTCAATTAAAGACATATTTATATTACCGTTTTTAAGTTTTGTTAAATATTTAGTTCCAAGAGTGAGTAGTTAGTGAGCAACCAATACAAATAACTACAAATTCAGTTAAATAAAAAAATTTTTAACAAACACACACAAATTGCCATTTTTGTGTGTCATTTGAGGCCGTCGGCCTATAAAAACTCGTGCAATTCTCAGGGGACTTTCACTCGATGGCACACGCATATACAAGACTTCGTTTGCGGCCTGCCGGAAATGCTAAAAAAAATATGCAGCAGTCCATATATGTGTATTCGACTAGAAATGTAGCCAAGCATAAGAAACAAAAGCAGACTACAATAAATACAAAAGGAACAAAAAAGTAAAAAAAAATATAATAAAAAAAAAAAAAATAGCACGGCAGAAAACAGTAAAGCATGTTAAATTTAACATAAATTTGTTGTTAGTTTGACAGTATAACATATCAGCTGCTGGCAACAAGCATTTGCACTGAGCTAGCCAATACAATGGGGAGCAAGACGAAATTTGTGCACGCGCTTGGGGATGATTTCTGTTTGTATAACCATTTTTTTCGCAAAGCAAATATCTTCAGTTGTTTTTTTACTCCCAATGCTCATGCTTCCCCCATTTCGTAGTGCTCTGGGACAATTTTTCCTTGCAGTTGCTTGCCTTCGCTTACGGGGGTCATTGCTCCATTTCGTTATTTCTTAGATTTATCCTTAATATAAAGTTAACACTCACTTTTTTTTAAAGCTTAAACGCATTGCGCTGACGCACGACGGGTGGTTGACATGCTGACTTCAAAATCCCCTCTGAGTGCCTTAGGAAAGCAATAAGAAATGCAATGTAAATATCCGGCGTACATGTGCGTCTGTGTGCGTGGCAACATGGTTATATCTTATCAAGTAGGTGTATGCATTGGCCTCGGGTCACAGCGCAGCGCACATACACACACACACACACATACATATGTAGCAATGTACTTGCATTTGTATAACTGCCCCTGCCCCGGTAACTGCCCATATATGCCATATATACATGTATCTGCGTATTACTTGCACAATCCCCCTTACGCTTCTGGCTTTTTCTTATTTGGCTCAGAGCCAATTTTTGTCATAACTTTCACTTCAAGTGAAATTTTGTTGCTCCCTCGTTGCTACTATTGCTACTTATATAAGCATTGTGTGACAATCTTTTGCATTCGACTTGCCCCACCCCTTCGCTCCTCTTTTCCAAGTTCGCAACGCAGGTCTGCATTAAGACATAAACTGTACTCAACTAGGCTGTGTGCTTAGCCCTGGAATAATCATAGGCCTAAGCTGGTTGCTTTGACTTTTATGCTGCCTTCCCTTGTCACTTGAACATCCTTGTTTGCTTTGCTTGTAGCTTGTTCCTGTGTGGCTTTTCTCCAAAATTTGTGTGTTTTGAAAGCATTTCTTGTAAATGATCGCTGCGCATTTGTTGTTGCATATTTCTTCGTTTTATTTGTTTTTATTCATTCCGCCGGTATTTATGGAAGTTGTTATTGGTTTGTTAACACCCCATTTAAGCTTTAATAGCAATTATTTGTTCTGCTTGATATTTACTAGCTGCGCTATGAAATTTCTTTGCATAGCTAAAGGCGCATTGCCGCATTATGCATATTTTTAACGGTAGAACAACTGGATATTTAGAATTTGTTATTGTACATGTTAATAGGTTATCATATGCGACTAAATTATGTAAAATCTTAAAAAGTTAGGCGAAAAAATTCAATAATACTCAATAAAGCCCATACACCACCGATACAAATTTTTTGGCTGATGTGAGCTGATTTTTTTTGCATTAATGTATGGTATGGTAATGCATGATAGGTCGTCGACACTTTGAGGCATAGAAGAGAGAGAGAATTTTGAATTTGAATTTGAATTGTCTGGTTTTTTTTCGATTGAAAATGTTTTTAACGACGAAATTGCAGAGCTTTTTAGACAACAATATCCTTCAGATGAAATCTCAAACTCTCTCAAACCAGTAAAAAAGTATCAGCATGTCGTGTTTTCGTAGGAACAGAATAGTACGAATTTTATGACAATATTATATTACAGTCATTTAAGAGCAGCTAGCGCTCTATACAAATAATAAAGGCACATAAATTTTTGAGTCTAACACTTAGTCCTGGCTAACAGTGTGTTACTTCCATAGTGCTTTCGTCTAAAAATCGCAATTTTTCAGTTTTGTATGCAAAGTGATGTATGAGTTGATAAATGTGTGATTTATCTGTGAGTTTTAAAAAATCACGAAAAGTTATAAAACTTAAATTTAGATTTTTTAGAAATTTTT